CGATCAACCCCCGCGGTAACGACGAGACTATATATAACCTTCTATCTCGGGGGTTACTGGCGTCCTCTTCCTCTTCCGCTTTCGACCCCTTAATACTTACTGTCTACTCTAGCTGGAATCTTGTTACACTCGCTCACATCATGTCGAGCCCACTTGATTCAACCTACGGCGTCTGGCTGGTGGCCCTCTTTTTGGAGACTATTTTGTATGGCATGGGTGTTCTTCAAGGTTGGATTTATTTCGCCGCCCGCCCGACAGACACTCGTTCGATCAAGTCTATGGTACTTGGCGTCAAGTATGTCCGAGTCGCTGCTGAGACTAACGGTCTTCAGGTTCTTATCGTCTTGTGCGTTCAATTGCAACGAGAACCTCGAGCCTCTAACTTCTTTCTTAGAGCTCTTGAGACCATCCAAGTTGTCTTCTTCTTCCGGTCTTCGTATTTTCGTTTTGTTGACCGTTTCGGCCAAATTCAACTCGATGTAATTTGGTAGGCCATCCTACACGTTCAATTCCTACGTAGTTCTAACATCAGCATCATGTCTAGGGCTGATGCGGTACGTTCTCCTTATGATGCTTTGGCAAAGATATAACGGTTTCGCTGTGTAGTTACAATTGCTTGCCGCCGTGAGTGGTTCCGCTTGACATCGGTTCCATGATTATAGCTCTTCCAGTATCTTTCTGCATTCACTGTTCAGATGTACACCAGCAGCTCAATTCTACAGAACACGGCTGACCGTTGTTTTTCTACAGATATTTCGCCAGTCGCATTCACAGACGTAAGTGGCGGCCGCCATCCTTCTCCTTGTTCTCTTTTTGATCCTCGCTTTAGTTACCAAGAATCGTGCAAGATTCAGCCTTTCTGCTATCGGGATATACACGATTGTATGTGACGAACCCCCAATCGCCTCGCGTTTTTGTTAAATTTCTTTCAGCTCACGTTGGCTGTTGTTCAAATTCGTATGTCTTTCTATCGCCTCATTGGTCCTCCCAACCAACGCGTAGGACTTGTGCAGTGGCTGGGATTGCCCAAACGATCCTTTCGTGCGTTCTTCGCTCCTCTTTTCCATATCCCCCTTCTAATTCACGCTTGCGATTCAGGTATGAACTGCGCTCCTTCGAAAAGCTCGGCGAAACCAAGGTATGAACGAACCAATTTCATTTACCTGAAGTCCCACCGATGTTTCATCAGGCCGTCACCACCCTTCAAACTGCCGCGTCCCTCGCCGCCGACCTCCTAATTACCATCTATCTCTGCGTGTTCCTTAGGAATCAGAAGGGCGAAATGATGAAGTAAGTTTTTCTGATTTCTTCGATCGCGGTCTCACCTTGGACAATAGAACCAATACGATAATGGACATACTTATCCAGGATGCCATTAACCGCGGCACGCTGACCGCGCTGTCTTCGGGTGTCACGATGGTTTTGGTAAGCCATGTCTCTTGTCGCTTTGCACCTATCTACTTACTTGATTTCTCTCAAGTTCTTAGCGCTCCCGGACACGTTCTGGTTCTTCCTCGGCCTTGCCCCAAGCAGTAAACGTCAGTCTTGCCTCTTTATTTAAATACCCAGATTGCTTACATCGCTCTCCTTGTTACAGTCTACATGAACAGCATGCTCGCCACGTATGTTTCATGGTCATTACTACTCGACGATTCTCTCACGCGCGACGGGCAGTCTCAACATGCGCAAGCGCACCCGTGAGAAACTCGACGCAAACGACAAGGGCTGGAACTCCATTCATTTGAGTAATATTCCGACGGCCAACGGTCCTAACGAGATTCAGGGACACGCATCCATCGCAGCAGTCGATTTCGGAATAAACTTGGTACGTTGTTGTTTAATCATGGTATCGCCCTCTGAATCATTTTAAAGATGGACATACCGGATAAGAGGGCGGATTTCCCGACGTGTGCGTAGTGTTTGGAAAAACATGATACTATTTTTCGTTCAATCTCGTAAGAGCGTGTTGGATATTTCCCGTCGATCCCTAGGACGCCAGACTGATTTTTTTTTGACTGCACACTGCTTTTCTTCGTCCTCACCACCTCGCCAAACGACTAATCGGTACTCAAGATGAAGACTGTGGCTCGCAGGCATTGTTCGCGTTCACAATAAAATGCGGTCGGGATTCCGGGTAGAGACATTCGTCACTTGATCGTGTTTGATGGCTGGGCAAATGGATCCGTCGGGGCGCCCATCCGCCAAGTTCACTGTTCATAAGAGAAATGAGAAGGGATAGGATGTTTGGCGCCAACGGGACCCGGGTATGCGCGCTGCCAAGAATATGATGCTGGGTGGCTGGGTGGAAAGATTGGATTCGGGTTCGTGATGTGCGATTGTCGCACAGAAAAAACCGGCTCGAGGAAGACATACTCGTGAGGGCTTGAAGTCAAACATGGACCGCTTGAGTAAAATTGAACAGAGCGGGAAAAATAAGAACAACAAAAATGGTATGGCCCAGCCCGGATTCGAACCAGGACCTCTCGCTTGATTGGATCTTCCATTCTCTCATACGGTGCGGGCGCGGACCATCCGCCACTGGGTCTTTTCAAGAGAGTGAAACCTTGATTTGGGATGAATTTAATTCGTGAGAGTACGGAAGATGTCAAGAATAAAAAACCGTAAAAGACTTGGCCTGACCCAGAGGGCCTGGTTGTACCGCTGTCGGAACATAACACGGCGCGGGCGCGGACTATCCGTCGCTGGGTCTTTTTCAATTGGCCTTGAACCTCAATTTGAGCTGGATCAAATCCTATGAGCGCAAGAAGATAACAGGGGGAAAAAACGCAGGCGCCATAGCAATGACCCAGCCTGGATTCGAACCAGGGTCTCCCAGTGGTACCCTTTCAGGAAGGCAACATAGTGGCGTGGGCGCGGACCATCCGCCACTGAGTCTTGTTTGTAGGGAGCGGGACCTGGTTTTGTGAGGTGATTTGGACAGTTTGGGAGGAAGTAGGAATTTATGTAAAAAGGTACATACAATGCAATTTGGACGATTGGGAAGAGATGTAATGCAATTACGCGGATGCAATTGGGAGAAAGCGGGATTTTGGACGATCTGAGAGCAAGTGGGTAGGAATATAGAGAGAAGAGATACTTGATGGCATCTAGGCGCGCGGATCCGTGCATCCGGCACAAACGGATTGTGATAAGCAGGTAATTTACGGCGGGAGACGCGAACAGCGCCAAGAGAATGAGCAGACGGCGTGGCAGTCGACGTCGCCGAGCGTCGCTGTAGTCCTCGGTGATTCCGAATACTGCAAACAACTGGCGAAGGATGGGTTGTCACAGCAATAGCATACGGCGACGAACGCACGAAACGAGAAAAGTCGAAAAAGCTGTTGAATGTAGTAGTGAGCAGTGTAAGCGCGGGAGAAAGCGGGAGGGGTGACAGGTCCATCAGGTCTACTTAAGTATGTGGGAGCCCTGTTGCTGTCAGCTGCAGGCTGCATCCGGAATCTGGAGTCTGGACCCTGGCCGATATAGGGGTAGAAGTTGGTGCAGGGGGTTGAGAGAAGGCAGCCGGCCGGGGTTCCGCCATTGGGTCTCTTTTCCATGGCCTGGAACCTTGATTCGAGCTGTGAAATTCGTGAGCACATGTAAGATGAACGGGATAAAAGAGTCCACGCGAAGCCATGCATTACCCAGCCTGGATTCGAACCAGGGCCTCCCGCTTTATCGCTCTTCTCCACCTGGATGTAGACGGCGCGCGCGCGGACCATCCGCTATTGTATCTTCATTCCCCGCTCGAGATACCCGATCTGAGCTACGATAAACTCGATGAGTGTACGGAAGATGGTGGGAATAAAAAACGCACTGGCGACACAGGCATGACCCAGCCTGGATTCGAGCCAGGGCCTCCCGCTTCATCGGTCATAACTATTAACGAATACGGTGTGCAGACCATCCGCCACTGGGTCTTTTTGGTACAGAGCGGGACCTGGTTTTGTGAGGTGATTTGGACGGTTTGAGTGAAAGTAGGAATTTGGAAGAATACATACGTTGCAATTTGGACGATTTGGGGGAAAGTAGGAATTTGAACGATTAGAGAGAAAGTGGGTAAGAATTTGGACGATTTGAGAGAAAGTAAAGGCATTGGGGGAGAGAGATACTTGACGGGATCTAGACGCGCGGACCCGTGCATCCGAAACAGGCGGATTGTGATGGACACGGAAGGTCAGCGAGACTCACCGCGGGAGACACGAACAACGCCAAGAGAATGAATAAGTCGAGGGCGCCAAAAGGCCGCATCGCAGTCGACGTTGCTCTCGGCGACTCTGCCGAATGCTGCAAACAACCGGCGAAGGACGGGTTGTCACAGCAATCGCATGCGGGAACGAACGCACGAGACGAAGAAAGTAGAAAAGCTGTAGAATGTATTAGTGAACAGTGTAAGCGCGGGAGGTGACAGGTCCATCAGGTCGCGGCCCGTTTACTTAAATATGTGGGAGACTTGGATTCGCGGAAGTTGTACATGGTCGGGTTCGTCCGATTTCGCACAAATCGTCGTCGCACAGAAGAAACCGGCTCGAGGAAGACAGACTTGTGAGGGCTTGAAGTCAAACCTGGACCGCATGAGCGGGAAAAAAAGACGGTTCGATACTTGTGACCCAGCCTGGACTCGCACCAGGGCCTCCCGGTTGTAATGCTTTCAAAGCACACAACACAGCGTGGCGCGTACCATCCGCCACTGATTCGTTTTTCCATAGCCTAGAATCTCGACTTTGGTTGGATCAAATGCGAGCGGGCAAGGAAGATGACGGAGCATCAAAAAAGATCGTCGTCTATGGATGACCCAGCCTGGATTCGAACTAGGGCCTTCCGCTTCCATCTGGTCACCATTCTACGCAGTGCGGGTGCGGACCATCCGCCACTGGGTCTCTTTCTTGCTCTGCGGAACCTCGATTCGAGCTGTGAAGTTCGTGAGCACAAGGATGACGAGCAACAAAAAAAGAAAAGCTGGGACGAAACCCTAAATGACCCAGGCTAGAGTCAAACCAAGCCTTCCCGCTTTATTCGTGTCTTCTATCTAGGAAACAGTGCGAGCGAGGACCATCCGCCACTGAGTCTTCGTTCCATAGATTTGAACCCTGCCTTTCGATATAAAATTCAGTGAGTTTCAAATAGGATCCTAATACATACAGGTCCAGTATGAGTCATTGCAAAGGCGCGCGGTGAGATGCGTACCATTCACTAGCATCTATATGTGAAGGGGGATCCGAGTACGGACGGTGCCAAGAATATGATGCTAGGTGGCTGGGTGAATTGAATTTTCTCTGAAAAATTCGAGGAGTGAGCGGAGCAAAAAAAAAAAGCTCGAGAGGAATCACCAATGACCCAGCCCGGATTTGAACCAGGAGTTCCCGCTTCCAGAATTGTTCATGTCTTACATATAGCGCGGGCACGAACCATCCGCCACTGGGTCTCTTTTCTATACAGTTGAACCTTGATTTGGGATGAATTTAATTCGCGCGCGCAAATAAAATCACGGCGATAAAAAAAACACAGCTCGCCGGGGAATGACCCAGCCTGCATTCAAACCAGGTCCTTCCCGTTTTATTTCTTCGTGATCGGCATACTACACGGTGCGGGCGTGAACCATCCGCCACTGGGTCTCTTTTCTATAGGTTTGAGCCCTGCCTTGCGAAATGATATCCTGTACAGGATGAGATGACTGGGGAAATCACTGTACAGGATGAGATGATTATCATTGTATCGGTTGCGAAGGGATGAGATAAGGGCGTAAAGGCAGAAAAGGAAGAAAAAGACCGCGAAACTTTGGAATGCGCTGCAGATGGATGAACGGAATCAGACGAAGTCAAAAGAAGGAGAAATGCGTCACATTGCGGAGGGAAAATAAAAAGAAAAGATGAAAGCCATTGCATGTCCCAGCCTGGATTCGAACCAGAAGTTCCCACTTCACTGTAGTCTTTGGACTCATACACGCGGACCATCCGCCACTGGATCTTTTTTGTATACAGTGGAACCTTGCCTTGCGAGACAAAATTCGACGGCTTGCAATCGGGATCCTAATACATACAGGTCCGCGTACGGCTGGTATGAGTCATTGCAAAGGACCGCGGGACGAGATGCGTATCACTCACTGGCGGCGTCTGTATGGGAAGGGGGATCCGGATTATGATGCTTGGTGGGCTGGGTGCGAGCATGGAATTTGTTGTCTTTGCTCTGAGAAATTCGAGGAGTGAGTGGAGCAAAAAAAAAGCTCGGGAGGAAACTTTAACGACCCAGCCTGGATTCGAACCAGGATCTCCCTCTTCATTGAAGAACCCGGAGAAATACGGTGCGAGCGCAGACCATCCGCCACTGGGTCTTTTTTGTATGCAGTAGAACCTTGTCTTGCGAGACAAAATTCGACGGCCTGCAATTGGGATCCTGATACATACAGGTCCGCGGCTGAGGTGTGTATCATTGTATGGGTATGGGAGGAGATGTGTACCACTCACCAGCGTCTATGTATATGAGGGACCCTGATGCAAGCGCTGCCAAGAACATGATGCTGGGTGGCTGGATGGGAGAATTGAATTTTCTGGTCACGTTGCCACGAGAGGACAAGACACTGGCACGACCCAGCCTGGAGTCGAACCAGGAGTGGCCGCTTTACTGGTCGATTACATGTACATGTATACGATGCGGGCGCGGACCGTCGGCCACTGGGTCTCTTTTCCATAGAGTGGAACCTTAATTGGGATGAATTTAATTCGTGAGCGCGAGGAACATGATTGCAGAATTTAAAAAAGATCGAGACACGGGTATGATCCAGCCTGGAGTCGAACCAGAGCCTCCCGCTGACATTTTTCCCAAGCACACGAGGTGCGGGCGCAGACCATCCGCCACTGGGTTTCTTTTAAATAGGGTGGAACCCTACCTTGTGAGATACAATTCGACGGCTTGCAAGCGGGATCTTAATGCATACAGGTCCGCATACGGTTGGTATGAGTCATCTCAAAGGTCCGCGGGGTGAGATGCGTACCACTCACCAGCGTCTATGTATATGGGACCCGGGTAGGGCGCTGTCAAGAATACGACTCTGGGTGGCTGGGCGGGAGAATTGAATTTGCTGTCTTTGCTCTGCGAAATTGGAGGAGCGGGCGAGAAGATGACGACGGTAAAGTGAAAGAAGGGAAAATGAGCTACGAATTCGATGGGTGTACGGAAGATGACAGGAATAAAAAAAACATCGACACTCTCGAATGACCCAGCCTGGAATCGAACCAGGACCTCCCGCTTTATCGTTATCGAGAAATCAGGACGTAGACGACGGGCGCGGACCATCCGCCACTGGGTCTCTTTTCCATAGATTTGAACCTTGCCTTGCGAGATAATTCGGTAACTTGCGCCTGGGATCCAACTGGGATCCTAATACAGGTCCGGGTACGGCTGGTATGAGTCATTGCACAGGTCCGCGAGATAAGATGTGGATCACTCACTGGCGTCTGTATGTGCGTACGGGCGCTGCCCAGAATATGATGCTAGGTGGCTGGGCGAATTGAATTTGCTCTGAGAAATTCGGGAGCAAAAAAAACAAGGTTGAGAGGAATAAGCGATGACCCAGCCCAGATTCGAACCAGGACCTCCCGATTGTACCGTTTTTTGAAACAACATGTACACAGCGCGGGCGCGGACCATCCGCTACGGGGTCTTCATTCCCTGCCTCGATACCCGATTTGAGCTACGATAAATTCGATGAGTGTACGGAAGATGGTGGGAATAAAAACGCACTGGCGACACAGGCATGACCCAGCCTGGAGTCGAACCAGGCCTTCCCGCTTTATCAGTCTTCTTCACCAAATACAAGATGTGCCCTCGCTTCGCTCCGGCCGTTGCACGGATGATATTGAGACGGGAGATATTTTTCTTTGTCACTGAGATATGTATGGTATTACGGGAAGTAGACAAAAGCGGCAAGAGACCAGAAAACATCACTGATCGAGAAGAGAGCGGCAATCCATCGACAGTGTAGCAATTCGATAGAAAAGATGAGCCGCAGCGTAAAAACGAGCCCAGGCAGAACATAAAGATTGTAGTTTCGACCATGGGAGAAAACAGTTGAGGAACGGCAAGGGGAATTCAGCTTAATGCACAAACGCACAGAGCCGAGAAATTCAGGACGATCGACGACGGAAGAAGTGGATGAAGGAATGATAACTGAGGAACAGTAGGCGGCTTTTATGCTCGGCAAATATTCAACACTCCTCGCCGCAGCTTAACATCATCTGCTGCGACAAACTGCGCGTATCCCACAGGAGCTCCGTTACTGTCAAATACATCGATGGTATGTATTCCAAAAATGAACTTTTGAACCATGAGGCCAACCAGTTTCGGATGAGGCACTGCAAGTTGATTGTGAGAACTTTAACAGAAAAGGTTGACTGGGGGTTTTCTCTAGTTGAACTGTGCTGAGCAATCGTCGATGTCCGTAGCGTACCAATGGGGATATATTCGACAAAGGCCAGTGCACGATCCGACTTGATGTCGAGGACGCGAGGGGAAGAGTGAGAATGGAGATGCAACACAAATGGGGCTATTGCACTGCCGAACGAGCATTTGCTTAAAGAACGGTTAATGGTGCGGCGTGGACCATCCGTCACTGGGTCTTTTTTTTGTATGCAGTGGAACCTTGCCGTGCGAGATACAATTTGAATGCACCACAGACCCGCGTACGGTTGGTATGAGTCATCGTAAAGGTCCGCGGGGTGAGATGCGTACCACTCACCAGCGTCTATGTATATGGGATCCGGGTAGGGCGCTGTCAAGAATACGATTCTGGGTGGCTGGGTGGGAGAATTGAATTTGTTGTCTTTGCTCTGCGAAATTGGAGGAGCGAGGGAGAAGATGGACGGCGAAGTAAAAGAAGGGCAAATGAGCTACGAATTCGATGAGTGAGCGTACGAGACGACGGCGAAAAAAAAATGCGCAAACGACGTGCAAATGACCCAGCCTGGATTCGAACCAAGGCCTTCCGCTTTATCTATCATATCGCCAACATACGACGCGGGCGCGGACCATCCGCCACTGGGTCTTTTTTGTATGCAGCGTGGAACCTTGCCTTGCGAGATACAATTCGGCGAGTTCCAATTGGGATCCTGATACATACAGGTCCGCGTACGGGTGGTATAAGACTACGAGTCATCGCAAAGGTCCACGGGTGAGATGTGTATCAGCCATGGGTTATATATGGTTGAGATGCGTACCACTCACTGGCGTCTATGTATATATGGGACCCTTGTGAAGGCGCTGCCAAGATCATGATGCTGGGTGGCTGGGTGGGAGAATTGAATTGTCTAGCCACGTTGCCACGAGCCGTGAATTAGCGAGGCGTCGATCCGTGCCGTGATGAAATTACGATAACTTGGAAGATGAGATGCCGGAAGAAAAAAAAAACAAGAGAGGGCAAGAGATGACCCAGCCTGGATTCGAACCAGGAGCGGCCGCTTTATCGCAAAATTTAGAGCATTACACGGCGCGGACGCGGACCATCCGCCACTGGGTCTCTCAACCAGAGAGTAGAACCTTAATTGGGATTAATTTAAGTCGTGAGCGCAAGGAACACGATTTGCAGGATATAAAAAAAAGACCGTAAAAGACCTGGTATGACCCAACCTGGATTCGAACCAGGGTCTCCCGGTTGTAGCTTTTAAAGAAGTTGCAACATAGCGTGGGCGCGGACCATCCGCCACTGGGTCTCTTAACCAGAGAGAGGAACCTTGATTTGGGATGAATTTAATTCGTGAGCGCAAGAAACACGATTGTAGGATATATAAAAAAGACCGTAAAAGACCAGGTATGACCCAGCCTGGAGTCGAACCAGGGTCTCCCGGTTAGAGTGTTATCAACAACTAACACAGCACGGGTGCGGACCATCCGCCACTGGGTCTTCTTTGTGGGGAGTGGGACCTGGTTTTGGGAGGTGATTTGGACGACTTTGGAAAAAGTAGGAATTTGGAGAAATACATACAATGCAATTTGGATGATTTAGGCGAAAGTAGGAATTTGAACGATTTGAGAGAAAGCGGGAAGGAATTTGGATGATTTGAGAGAAAGTAAAGAAATTTGGATACGTGGGTGAGAGCGACACTTGACAGGATTATGATAGACGCGCGGAGCCGTGCATCCGACGCAGGCGGATCGTGATGAACAGGGAAGATCAGCGAGATTCACCGCGGGAGATGTGCACAACGCCAAGAGAATGAATAAGCAGCCGGCGTGAAGAGGTCGACGTCGCGTATTATTCGGGGCCAAATGCTGCAATTAAAATGACCGGCGAGGGACGGGTTGTCAGAGCAATAGAATGCGACAGGCGCGCGAGAAAAAAAAATAGGAAAGCTGTATGTAGAATGTATTAAATGTATAGGTATAAGCGAGGAGATAGCTACGATGGGTGACAGTTCTATGTATGTGGGTGCCGTGGGCCTGCCAAGGTGGACCCGGGTGCTAAAAAGTAGCCGGGATAGTTGGGTGCAGAGTGTTGAGAGGAGGCAGCAGGGAGAAGGAAATGGCAGGACAAGGAATGAAATGGGAGCGGAGGAGACCCATGGAGCAGGTAGGGAAGAAGGTGGCACGGTGCCACGAAGATCTGCGTCTCGCGTGGCGCTGTATTTGTTTGTGTTAGGAATCACCGGCGACACCTTCCCTCTGACAATGGCAATTTAATGGTGTCTTCTCACCGGCTTTGACGACGTCCACCAACCACCCACCCACCCGCCATGCCCCGACACCCCGCCTTTGAGCTCGCTGTGCGCAGCATCACCCTCGTCCCGACCCAGCCGTCGGGCGTCCCCGCCTCCACCGCCAGCACAAGCCACACCCATGGGTCCGTACCACTACTCCACATCTTCCCATAGCCACTCCAGACTAACCACGACCCCCACAGACCGACCCCAACACCCCACCTAAAGTCCGACAAGCAGCACAAAGCCCCCGTGGGCCTCATCGTCGGCGTCGCACTCGCCATCGTCGCAGGCGTCGCCGGCCTCTTCTTCATCCGCTACCTCTTCATCCGCCGCGCACGCCGCCGCGAGGCCCTCGCCGCCCCTGCACCTGCACAATCCACATTCGCTGCAGGAACGAGCACCATGCCGAAGCAGCAGCAACCCCCACCGGCACCGATGGCGACCGATCGCGACGCCGTCGAGCTCGGCCACTACCCACCCTCGTCCGCCGGCGGCTCGTGGCCCACACCCTTCGCCGCGCCCGCACCCGCACCCGGCGCAGGCTCCTCCCCCGCCGCGCGCCAGGCGTATCTCGCCGCGGAGCTGCGCGCGGCGCAGGCGCTGCTCGAGCGCGGCGGGAAGGACGTCAATACGACGCGCACGAAGGCACGCATCCGTGAGCTGGAGGAGCGGCAGCAGAGCGCGTGGGCGCTGGGCCTCGAATAGTGGGGAGTGGGAGGACTGCTGGATCGGTCTTGCGTGCGTGTGGATTTATTTTGGATTTATGGGTGTGCGACGGGTGTCCGGGCGACTCGAATACGGACTTCAGATTCGGCGTGGATTTCCGCGTGCGTGTGTACTACATTCTTGTGTACGCTCCTACATTTGTGTGTACGCCTACAGTACCCCTCGCGACCCCTCTTTATTTGCGTTTCGCGATAATGTGTCATGTACCCTGTTTGCTTAATCGAGCTGTATCTCTTACTGTCACTACACAAGTACATTACATACATACCCGCCGTGGATTTCCACCTAACATTGTGTTGTCTCGCTGCGAAATTTCTTCGTCCGAGTCGTCTGTGCCCTCCTCCAGTCCGCGTCGACGAGCAACCTCTATCTCGGTGTCACTTAGTACGTGTCAAAGAAATCAATATGATTTGTTCCCTCCCGCTTCCTTTGATCCATCATCTCGTCACACTGCTACTACTTATCCAACCATGCAGCAGACGAGGGATGTCAGATATGGTGTAGCGGTAACATCGCCTCTTTGAATACTATAGGCATCTTCTATCTTTATGAGGCCGTCCCGGGTTCGAACCCCGGTGTCTGAGTAATTGTCTTTGGAGTACTTTTTTAGTGCCTCGCTTTTTGAACTTGGTACATGCTTGTATTTTAGATCGGTGTGAAAGTGTTAAAAATGACTATAGGTATCGGACGAGGCTCTGGCTTTGAGTTCAATGCGGAGTGAATTACATACATTAAAAAAATGCAGTATATTCGTAATCCCCTGTCTTCTGTATTTATGAAAGTGTCATAGTGTCATCTGCATGATAATAATCCCGAATGTAAACAATTGCATCCGTCTGAGGTGAATTCCGATGCCCCACGGCCTTTTTCCATTCTCCGGATCCGACATCCTTCCTGCGCTCACGAATTAAATACACACCTCAACGAATTAAATACACCTCAACGCCAGGTTGCACTCTGTGGAAAAGAGACCCATCAGCGAAACGTATCGCACCCACGTCGTGTACATCTGCCACTTCGTATCAGTGGGAGGCCCTGGTTCGAATCCAGGCTGGGTCATTAGTATTCACTGATGTTGTTTTTTATTTCCTCTGTCTGTCCTCTAAGCTCATCTCTCTCGCGCTATAAAATTTAATGCAGTCGAAATCACCTTTCTAGCCATAGAATGAAGACCCAGTGGCGGATGGTCCGCGCTCGCACCACATTGATTTTATTTGATTTAATAGCGGGAGAGCCTGGTTCGATTCCAGGCTGGGACATTCGGCCTCTAGTTGTTTTTTTGTTTTTGTTTTTATTTCTCTTACGCTCAGCGCACCCGCACCGTTTAACACGAAATTAACTGACGTACAGTCAGTGGGAGGTCCTGGTTCTAATCCAGGCTGGGTCATGGTTTGATTTACGTTTTTATTGCCTCCGTCATCTGGGCTCATCTATCTCACGCTCAGTCAGCAGGATGCTTTGAATCCAGAGCTTGATCCATCTTGCCTTTTTTCTCCCCGTCATCATCTTCCTTGCGCTCACTCGTTGAATTTATCACAGACCCAGTGGCGGAAGGTATCGCGCCTGCTTATCGTAAGCAAATGCCCAGGATAATAATTTGAGCGGGAGCTCCTGGTTCGAATCCAGGCTGGGTCGTGTGTTTCCTTGATGCGAGTTTTTTTTCGTTCTCTGTCAATTTGTACATCGGGTTCGTAAGAAAAGAGAAAGAGACCCACTTACGCTCACTCATCCAAATTTATCCCGTCAGTGGGGTTCAAGCTATGGAAAGAGATGCGACAGCGAACGGTTTGCTCCCGCACCATGCGCATTGTCCCTATAGATGTGCATTCTTCACCCGGCTTTATGGTGGATATCTTTTTACACCCCTTATCGAAACTTATCGCAACTCCAATCGAGGTTTGACTAGGCGGAGAAGAAACCTAGTGGCGGATGGTTCGCGCCCACGCAGATATACAATAAATGTCAGTGGGAGATGCTGGTTCGAATTCAGGCTGGGTCATAGGATTCATCCAACCGGATTTTTTCTCTTCTCCCTCATCTTCTTTGAATTCAGCGCAACTCAACTCGAAGTGGCAGATGGTTCCGCGCCCGTGTCGAGTACTCGAGGTATTCCACATCGTGTCAGCGGGAGGTCCTGGTTCAAATCCAGGCTGGGTCATATGTCGAAAATCTCGTATTCATTTTATTGCGCATCACGAGAACTTCATCTTCCTGCGAATTTACCGCAGCTCAAACCGGGTTTATGAATGCAGTGGTTTGAATTGTGTTGGTCACTCCCTAGAAAAGAGACCCAGGGGCGGATGGTTCGCACCCGCGCTGTGTATATATATACGTCTAACGCCATGTAAGCGGGAAACCCTGGTTCGAGTCCAGGCTGGGTCATTAAATTGGTGTCGAATAGGTTTTTTTATCGCTGCATGAACTCATGATCATCTTTGCGCTCCCGAATGGACCACACGAAATTGAATGCGATATTCGGGGGTGTGCCCTGGTTCGAATGCAGGTTGGGTCCTACCGACTCCTATGGCTAGCTGAAACCAATTCTCTCTACCTACATATATATATATCTTATGGCACAAACGAGCAAGCTGGGTCTCCTGCACGAATGAAGTCCGGTTGTGTCATTGCGTCTTACCGGTGTATTTTCTGCATTCGTTTTGCGTTGTCTGCTTAGCTTCTGTGAAGGTGAGGTTCCCCGCCTGTGAAGAAGACTTGGGGTTTTTCCTCATTTGTGTTTAAAGGGTGGAAGAGGTCCAGCGTCTGACTTGAGAGGTTAAATCCGTCGGCAGAATCGATTCTCTGAAATTTTGGACGATGGGTAAGAAAAGTATTTGGTTTCATTGTGGAACTATACTAAAGAGGAACTGAACAGGATCAGCCAAGTGCACTCCCGCGCAAGGATTTTACGTACTAATATATAGTCGTGATAGGTCTGCCAACATTGAGAAGCGTGTGGGTGTTAATACAGTATACGGTTCGCTTGATGCTCCGTCATCGATTCAGTACAGCTCAAGGAGGTTTCCAGCTATGGAATGCAGACCCAGTGGCGGACGGTTCGCATCCGCACCGTGTTAATATCAGCACTTCTACTGCAACAGCGGGAGGGCCTGGTTCGACTCCAGGCTGGGTCATTGCTGTCCTTTTGTTGTCAGCGAGAAGTCAAGAAGATATATCTCTCCAGTGCAAAACCCACCTTGCCCTGCTGATGTAGCATGTTCATTAGCGGGTAGGCCAGCCACTGGTGTAATCGAGGATCGTACTGAAAAATACGAGAAAGACTTACAGAGGAATCGGGCGATCCCAACTTGCATCCCTGAATTGCGAGATGCAGCCGTCGAATCCTTTCCCAGGCCCAGTACCGTCCCACAGTCGCAGTCCCCGGCAGGTTCCAGAGGGAAACTCAATATACACCAGAAAACGAGTTGAATTCGGGTTCCATCATCGGAAATCTGCTCCTCATAGCCAAGAGGATCCGCGAACTTGAAGTTGTGCGGCCATGCACCACGGATATTTCTAGACTCTGGAAAACATTCTCTGTGGTCAGTTTTCCCTAAATTTTCCCAGAGTCTTTGCCGGGCCTTCCTCGCAATTCGGAGTCAGCTTTGTTTTTAGCCGTCGCGCCAACACTACATACCCAGAAATGAGATGAGAGCAGGAGGAGAGAGCGGCGGACCGGGCCGATGTTTGGCTCTATTGAATTGCAACGGCGTCCGCGCCTCTGCACGCACCTCTCTTCCGTTTTTCCTCAAGTCTCGTCCAACTCGCTGGTCCCCATCCTCCGGTTCAAAACTCAAGAAGATCAATCGCGCAAAGCTCACCAGTACTGTTGGCCCATTAGAACCCCTAGCTCGGCATTGCTACCCAGGCTATCCTTGGGCTTTCTTTCCTCCGAACGAAAGCGATGAGGCCCCGTGAAGCTCCTGCCAAGGGTTGTCCGCCAAAAGTGCCCGATTTCTGGCTCAAAAATCCTATCTTTTGGCAGCATTTCGGCCTCAAAAATCCTATAACGGACAAGGGTCTACCACCCAAGGGGTCCCGAAAATCGACATTTTGTTGCCTATTTTTGCTATTTTCGCTCCCGAGCGCCGTTTGTGTGCATTTTGGGTCCTTTCGGCTCTTACCTGTCTTTCAAACCGTTATCAGCCTCGGGAAAGTTTGGGTCAGTCACCTCTGCGGGGGACACCACCCAAGTTCTGCATTCTGGACCTAAAAAATCCTATTTGCGGACAAGGATTTCCGATTTTTTGGCCTCAAAAATCCTATTTTCGGACAAGGAAATCACATATTTTCGCCCTCAAAAATCCTATTTTGCGGACAATCCTTGGCAGGAGCTTCACGGGGCCTAAGCGATGTCAGATGTCTTTCGTTCAGTGAACCCGGTGGCCAAATCCACTGCGAGATTGATGATCATATCCGTTGTCTTTGATCCACGTCGCTCTGCAGTGACGCATTATCCAGTAGGTCTTTCATCCCCTCGTTCCTTGTCTGCCCACGCTGCCGCGAAGCCCTGGCCACCCCTACCCCCGCCCCCGCATAACCCACATTTTCTTTAAGGACAAACCCAATGTCAAGCCAGTCGCCCCCGCCCGTAGCCCCGCGCCGATGGCGAGCGATCGCGACGCCGTCGAGCTGAGGCACTATCCGCCCTCGTCCGCCAGCGGCTCGTGACCCCCTAAAGTCCGACAAGCAGCACCAAACCCCCGTGGGCCTCATCGTCGCGTCGCACTCGCTATCGTCGCAGGTGTCGCCGGCCTCTTCTCCACCCGCTGGCTCTTCATCCGCCGCCCTCACCGCCCCTGCACCCATGCAACTCGCATTCGCTGCAGGCATAACAAGCGCCATGCCGAAGCAGCAGCCGCAGTAATAACAACACCCGCCCCCACCCGCACCGATGGCGAGCGATCGCGACGCCATCGAGCTCAGCCACTACCCGCCCACGTCCGCCAGCGGCTCGTGGCCCACGCCCTTTGCTGCGCCTGCGCCTGCACCCGGCACGGGCTCCTCCCCCGCTGCGCGCCAAGCATATCTGGCCGCGGAGCTGCGCGTGGCGCAGGCGCTGCTTGAGCGCGGCGTCAATACGGTGCGCACGAAGGCCCGCATCCGTGAGCTGGAGGAGCGGCAGCAGAGCGCGTGGGCACTGGGCCCCGAATAGTGGGGCAGGGTGCGGACTGCTGGATTGGTCGTGCGTGCGTGTGAATTTATTTGAATTTATGGGTGTGCGATGGGTGTCCGGGCGACTCGAATACGGACTTCAGATTCGGCGTGGATTTCCGCGTGCGTGTGTACTACATTCGTGTGTATGCTCCTACATTTGTGTGTACGCCTACAGTACCCCTCGCGACCCCTCTTTATTTGCGCCTCGCGATAATGTGTCATGTACCCTGCTTGCTTAATCGAGTTGTATCTCTTACCGTCACTACACTACATTCATTATATACCCAGCCGTGGATTTCCACGTTAACGTTGTGTCATTTGAATCTTGCATTCTGAGATTTTCTCGTCCCTCCCAGTCGTCTGTGCATATGTTTCCAGGCTCTCGGCACTTATTCTTCGGTGTTTCTCACCCAATCTTCCTTCTTGTCCTCTCGTCGTAGCCCCCATAGCTCGCAACCCAGATTTTGAAGGATATCAGACATGGTGTAGCGGTAACATCGCCTTCTTCAATTGACATCCTTACTTTCAGCTCTGCGAGGCGGTCGCGGGTTCGAATCGCGGTGTCTGAGTGTCGGTAATTGATCCAAATTTTATCTCTTTGGTCGATTTCTCGTTCAGATCCTTTTTATTAATAAATTATTCCTCCAGTCCACGTCGACGAGCAACCTCTATCTCGGTGCTTAGTACGTGTTCAAAGAAATCATGATTTGTTCCCTCCCGCTTCCTTTTATCCATCAGGTCGTGAAACTGCTACTACTTATCCACCCATGCAGCAGATGAAGAATATCAGACATGGTGTAGCGGTAACATCGCCTCTTTGATTAGTAGAGCAAGTATTTCAGTCTTATGAGGCCGTCCCGGGTTCGAATCCCAGTGTCTGAATAATTATAGGTGCTCCATTTTTAGTACCTCACTTTTTGAACTTGGTACATGTTTGTATTTTGGATCGGTGTGAAAGTGTTAAAAGTGACTATAGGTACGGCCGACGCTCTTTGAGTTCAATGCGGAGTGAATTACATAAACAAAATGCAGTATATCCGCAAGCCCCTGTCTTCTGTGTTTGGTGACATAGTGTCATCTGCATGATAACAATCCCGAATGTAAAGTTTTTCCGCTCTCCGGATCCGGTATCCGCCATCTTCCCTGCGCTCACGAATGACTACATGTACCTCTCAAAGAATTAAATACTCCTCAATACCAGGTTTACACTCTGTGGAAAAGAGACCCAGTGGCGGATGGTATCGCACCTGCACCGCGTAACCCAAGTTAGATATTCTGCGATATCAGCGGGAGGTCCTGGTTCGATTCCAGGCTGGGTCATTATTCGTTGCTGTTGTTTTTTATTCCCTCCGTCATCTGAGCTCATCTCTCTCGCGCTGTCAACTTTAATACGGACCAAATCACCTTTCCAACCATGGAATGAAGACCCAGTGGTGGATGGTCCGCGCTCGCACCACATTGTTTTGTTTTGATTTAATAGCGGAGTGTTTGGTTCGATTCCAAGCTGGGTCATTCATCTTCTAGCTGCTGTTTTTTTTTTTTTTTTTTCTCTCTCTTACGCTCACCATCGAATTTACCACGAGAAATCGAGGTTTCAAGTTGGGGAAAGTGGCGAAACGTAGCGCATCCGCACCGTTTAACACGAAATCAACTGACGTACAGTCAGTGGGAGGTCCTGGTTCGAATCCAGGCTGGGTGGTTTGATATACATTTTTATTGTCTCCGTCATCTGGGCTCATCTATGTCGCGCTTAGTTAGCAGGATGCTTCGAATCCAGAGTTTGATCCATTTTGCCGTTTTCCCCGTTATCATCTTCCTTGCGCTCACTCATTGAATTTATCACAGACCCAGTGGTGGAAGGTATCGCGCCCGTTCATCGTAGGCAAATGGCTAGGATAACAATTTCAGCGGGAGCTCCTGGTTCGAATCCAGGCTGGGTCATGCAATCTCTGGATGTGTTTTTTTTTTTGTTTTCCGTCAATTTGTAAATCCGGGTCTCAAAAGAGAAGAGATCCAGTTCCTTATGCTCAGTCATCCAAATTATCCCATCAGTGAGGTTCGAGTTATGAAAGGAGATGCGACAGCTCTCGCACCATGCGCATTGTTCCTATAGATGTGCATTTTTCATCGATCATTCATCCGGCTTTATGGTGGATATCTTTTTACACCCCTTATCGAAACTTATCGCAGCTCCAATCGAGGTTTGACTAGGCGGAGAAGAAACCTAGTGGCGGATGGCTCGCGCCCACGTCGACATACAACAAATGTCAGTGGGAGATGCTGGTTCGAATTCAGGCTGGGTCGTAGGATTTTCTCGTGCAGGATTGTTTCTTCTCCATCATTTTCTTTGAATTCAGCGCAACTCAACTCGAGGTTTACGGCTATGAAAGGGAGACCCAGTGGCAGATGGTTCCGCGCCCGTGTCGAGTACTCGAGGTATTCCACATCGTGTCAGCGGGAGGTCCTTGTTCAAATCCAGGGTGGGTCATATGTCGAAAATCTCGTATTCATTTTATTGCGCATCACGAAAACTTCATCTTCCTGCGAATTTACCGCAGCTCAAATCGGGTCTATGAATGCAGTGGTTTAAATTGTGTCGGTCACTCCCTAGAAAAGAGACCCAGGGGTGGATGGTTCGCACCCGCGATGTCTATGCATCCAACACCGTGTAAGCGGGAAACCCTGGTTCGAATCTAGGCTGGGTCATGAGATTGGTGTCGAATAGGTTTTTTTATCGCTGCATGAACTCATGATCATCTTTGCGCTCCCGAATGGACCACACGAAATTGAATGCGATATTCGGGGGCGGCCCTGGTTCGAATCCAGGTTGGGTCCTACCGACTCCTATGGCTAGCTGAAATTTTTTCCTACTTACATATATATATATCCTGTGGCACAAACGAGCAAGCTGGGTCTCCTGCACGAATGAAGCCCGGTTGCATCTTCCCGGTGTACTTTGCTGCATTTATTTTGCGTTGTCTGCTTAGCTTCTGTGAAGGTGAGGTTCCCCGCCTGTGAAGAAGACTTGGGGTTTTCCCTCATTTATGTTGAATGGGTGGAAGAAGTCCAGCGTCTGACTTGAGAAGTTAAATTCGTCGACAGAATCGGAACCTTGCGATTCTCAGAAAATTTGGACGACGGCTAGGAGAAGGTTTTGATTTCATTGTGGAATCATATTAAAGAGGAACTGAGCTGGTTCAGTTAAGTGCACTCCCGCGGAAAAGACTTTACCTACTAATATACAGTCGTGATAGGTCTACCAGCGTTGAGAAGCGCATGGGGGCTACAGTATATAGCTCGCTTGATACTTCGTCATCTGTAGTCGTCGATTCAGTACAGCTCAAAGAGGTTTCAAGCGGAATGCAGACCCAGTGGCGGATGGTTCGCGTCCGCACCGTGGGTCATTGCTATCCTTTTACCACGTTCAAGTTGTCAGTGAGAAGTCAAGAAGATATCTCTCCAGTGCAAAACCCACCTCGCCCCTGCTGATGTAGCATGTTCATTAGCGGGTAGGCGGGCCACTGATGTAATGGAGGATCGTACTGAAAAATACGAGAAAGACTTGCAGAGGAGCCGGGCTATCCTAACTTGCATCCCTGAATTGCGAGATGCAGCCGTTGAATCCTTTTCCCAGGCCCAGCACCGTCCCACAGACTACAGTCGCAGTCCCCGGCAGGTTCTGGAGGGAAACTGAATATGCACCAGAAAACGAGTTGAATTCAGATTCCATCATCGGAGATCCGCTCCTCATAGCCAAGAGGATCCGCGAACTTGAAGTTGTGCGGCCATGCACCACGGATATTTCTAGACTCTGGAAAACATTCTCTGTGGCCAATTTTCCCTAAATTTTCCCAGAGTATTTGCCGGGCCTTCCTCGCAATTCGGAGTCAGCTTTGTTTTTAGCCGTCGCACCAACACTACATACCCAGAAATGAGATGAGAGCAGGAGGAGAGAGCGGCGGACCGGGCCGATGTTTGGCTCTATTGAATTGCAACGGCGTCCGCGCCTCTGCACGCACCTCTCTTCCGTTTTTCCTCAAGTCTCGTCCAACTCGCTGGCCCCCATCCTCCGCTCCATCCTCCCCTTCAAAACTTAAGAAGGTCGATCAGCGCAAAGCTCACCAGTACTGTTGGCCCATTAGAACCCCTAGCTCGACATTGCTGCCCAGGCTATCCTTGGGCTTTCTTTCCTCCGAACGAAAGCGATGTCAGATGTCTTTCGTTCAGTGAACCCGGTGGCCAAATCCACTGCGAGATCGATGAGCGTATCCGTTGTCTTTGATCCAGGTCGCTCCGCAGTGACGCATTATCCAGTAGGTCTCGCCGCCCTTTCATCATCCCCTCGTTCCTTGTTCGCCCACGCTGCCGCGAAGCCCTGGACACCCCTACCCCCACCCCTGCACAACCCACATTTTCTTCAAGGATAAACTCAATGTCAAGCCAACAGCCCCCCCCCGTAGCCCCGCGCCGATGGTGAGCGATCACGGCGCCGTCGAGCTGAGGCACTACCCGCCCTCGTCCGCCAGCGGCTTGTGACCCCCTAAAGTCCGACAAGCAGCACCAAGCCCCCGTGGGCCTCATCGTCGCGTCGCACTCGCTATCGTCGCAGGCGTCGCCGGCCTCTTCTCCACCCGCTGGCTCTTCATCCGCCGCCCTCGCCGCCCCTGCACCCATGCAACCCGCATTCGCTGCAGCCTCAGGCTGCAGGCATAACAAGCGCCATGCCGAAGCAGCCGCAGTAATAACAACATCCGCCCCCACCCGCACCGATGGCGAGCGATCGCGACGCCATCGAGCTCAGCCACTACCCGCCCTCGTCCGCGGGCGGTTCGTGGCCCACGCCCTTCGCCGCGCCCGCGCCCGCACCCGGCGCAGGCTCCTCCCCCGCCGCGCGCCAGGCGTATCTCGCCGCGGAGCTGCGCGCGGCGCAGGCGCTGCTCGAGCGCGGCGGGAAGGACGTCAATACGACGCGCACGAAGGCACGCATCCGTGAGCTGGAGGAGCGGCAGCAGAGCGCGTGGGCCCTCGGCCTCGAATAGTGGGGCAGGGTGCGGACTGCTGGATCGGTCGTGCGTTCGCAGATTTATTCTGGATTCATGGGTGTGCGATGGATGTCCGGGCGACTCGAATATGGACTTCAGATTCGGCGTGGATTTCCGCGTGCGCGTGTACTACATTCTTGTGTACACTGCTACATTTGTGTGTACGCCTACAGTACCCCTCGCGACCCCTCTTTATTTGCGCCGAGCGATAATGTGTCATGTACCCTGCTTGCTTAATCGAGCTGTATCTCTTACTGTCACTACACAAGTACATTACATACATACCCAGCTGTGGATTTCCACCTAAGATTGTGTTGTCTCGCTGCGAAATTTCCTCGTCCGAGTCGTCTGTGCCCTCTTTGTTTCTTGCAAACCACAAATCCACATGTTTCCAGGCTCTCGGCGCTTCTCACCCAATCTTCTTTCTTATCCTCTCGTCGTAACCCCCATAGCTCACAACCCAGACTTTGAAAGACATCAGACATGGTGTGGCGGTACATCGCCTTTTTCGATTGAGGTTTTCTCTTTTAGTTCTGTGAGGCGGTCTCGGGTTCGAATCCCGGTGTCCGAGTTGCCGTTATAAATCCAGCTTTTTATCTCTTTGGTCGATTTCTTTGTTCGGACCCTTTTTATTAATAAATTATTCCTCCAGTCCGCGTCGACGAGCAACCTCTATCTTAAAGAAATCAATATGATTTGTTCCCTCCCGCTTCCATCAGCTCGTCGACATCCTACGCATCCAGCCATGCAGCAGACAACATCAGACACAGTGTAGCGGTAATATCGCCTCTTGTTATAGGTCCGAGAATCGATCCATCGGAGGCAGCCCCGGGTTCGAACCCCGGTGTCTGAGTGTGTTATTCGTTGAAGATTTTTATTCCTCTTTTGAAGTTATCCACCCAGGTTGATTTACTCGTTCCAGGGAATTGAATGGTTCTTACCCCCCGTCCACGAAGAGCTTGAATCTCCGAGTACACACGGTATAGAAATAGAATTAAATATTTATTGGTTCTCCTTTTATCCAGACTCAAGCTCCCTTTTATCACTCAGCTCGTCATACTGCTACTTATCCAACTATGCAGCAAATGAGGGACATCAGACATGGTGTAGCGGTAACATGGCCTATTCGATTAAGCGAGTCATTTAAGCTTATGGGGCCGTCCCGGGTTCGAACCCCGGTGTCTGAGTAGCTTGTTTGGATTACACTTTTTGAACTTGATACATGCTTGTATTTTGGATCGTTCTGAAAGTGTTAAAAATGACTCTTGGTATCGGGCGAGGCTCTGGCTTTGTTCAATGCGGAGTGAATTACATAAACAGAATGCAGTATATCCGCAATCCCCTGTCTTCTGTATTTATGAAAGTGTCATAGTGTCATCTGCATGACAATAATCCCGAATGTAAACAATTGCATCCGTCTGAGGTGAATTCTGATGCTTCACGGCCTTTTTCCATTCTCCGGATCCGACATCCTTCCTGGGCTCACGAATTACAGCTCTTTGCAGAACTTAGGGCGCGGCTCGAAATTTTTCCTTTTTAGGTACTTTTTTGATGGTTTGGACCAGGACAGCCGCCCTTGTCTCAATTCTTGTCCGTTCCCTTGGCCAATATGCTCAATCGCTTCGCATACCAAATACGCAGTTAACTGCGTCTTTAGAATTTTTATATTACACTTAGGGATGCTTTGTGAGCACTGAAAGGAGTTGTTTCTGATCATTTTTGATTATCTTTGAGCAGGACAGCTGTTCTGATCTCAGTTGTCTGCCTTTTTCTTCGGGAATAGGCTCAATCTATTCGCATTCAAAATGCGCAGTTAACCGCCTTCTCAGATTTTCAACCTGACCTCCAATACGACTTCCTGTTGGATGAAATACCCAGTAGGTCATCACTTTTGATTGGAATTCAGTAGAACAGCTGCTGCGGCCTCAGATCTTAATCGTTTGTTTAACCTATAGGCGCAATCTCTTCGTCTAGTGAATCCAAAGTTTATGATGCCCTTCGATTTCCCAACTGGCTCTCACGACACTTGCCCGGTACAGCAGTTTGTTTGTAAGCAGGCTTTCCAGCAAGACAGTCGTGAACTGCTTTTGGGGTGCCCACAAACTATTATTTCGTTGAAATGTTGCACTTTACCCTAGTAATTTGCCTAAATCATAGTTGCATTATGATAATACACACTACAGGATATTCACCGTGTGTTTTCACTGAGAGCAGGTGAAAAACTAAAAATTATATTAAATCTATAATTCCCAATTCTGAGTCGGTGGTTGCCTGCGGAGAGATTATACGAGTAGAATGAGCCTATGATGGCGTAAAACGGTAAAGGATTGAAGCAGCAGCAGCTGTTCTGCTGAATGCCAATCAAAAGTGATGACCTACTGGGTATTTCATCCAACAGGAAGTCGTATTGGAGGTCAGGTTGAAAATCTGAGAAGGCGGTTAACTGCGCATTTTGAATGCGAATAGATTGAGCCTATTCCCGAAGAAAAAGGCAGACAACTGAGATCAGAACAGCTGTCCTGCTCAAAGATAATCAAAAATGATCAGAAATAACTCCTTTCAGTGCTCACAAAGCATCCCTAAGTGTAATATAAAAATTCTAAAGACGCGGTTAACTGCATATTTGGTATGTGAAGCGATTGAGCATATCGGCCAAGGGAACGGACAAGAATTGAGACAAGGGCGGCTGTCCTGGTCCAAACCATCAAAAAAGTACTGAAAAAGGAAAAAATTCGAGTCGCGCCCTAAGTTCTGCAAAGAGCTGTAAATACACACCTCAACGCCAGGTTGCACTCTGTGGAAAAGAGACCCAGTAGCGAAACATATCGCACCCACGTCGTGTACATCTGCCACCTCGTATCAGTGGGAGGCCCTGGTTCGAATCCAGGCTGGGTCATTAATATTCACTGGTGTTGTTTTTTATTTCCTCTGTCTGTCCTCTAAGCTCATCTCTTTCGCGCTATAAAATTTAATACACCCCTCATCAAGGTTTCAAGCCACGGAATAAAGATCCAGTGGCGGATGGTCCGCGCTCGCACCACATTGATTTGATTTGATTTAATAGCGGGAGTGTTTAGTTCGAATCCAGGCTGGGTCATTCTTCTAGCTGCTGTTTTTTGTTTTTGTTTTTATTTCTCTTACGCTCACCATCGAATTTACCATGAGAAATCGAGGTTTCAAGTTGGGGGAAAGTGGCGAAATGTGGTGCACCCGCACCGTTTAACACGAAATTAATTGACATACAGTCAGTGGGAGGTCCTGGTTCGAATCCAGGCTGGATCATGGTTTGATATACGTTCCTATTGCCTCCGTCATCTGGGCTCATCTATCTCGCGCTCAGTCAGGAGGATGCTTCGAATCCAGAGCTTGATCCATCTTGCCTTTTTTCTCCCCGTCATCATCTTCCTTGCGCTCACTCATTGAATTTATCACAGACCCAGTGGCAGAAGGTATCGCGCCCGCTTATCGTAAGCAAATGCCCAGGATAATAATTTCAGCGGGAGCTCCTGGTTCGAATCCAGGCTGGGTCGTACGTTTCCTGGATGCGAGTTTTTTTTTGTTCTCTGTCAATTTGTAAATGGGTAGTAGCCACCTCCGTCACTTCGTTACTTCGCGTAGGTACACGAAACTTCGTCACTTTGATGGGAATCTGAAAAAGTTCGTCACTTTGCCTCCTTTCTGTGAAAGCTCGTCACTTCAACTCGGCACCTTCAAGACCTCGGAACACCGGCCATCAGTGTTCATTCACACAAGCCGGGGAGTGTTTTTTTATATAGATCCCTCACCCTAACACTAACCACTAACCCTAACCACTAACTGCTAACCAGTAACCTCAAACCCCTAACCTCTGACCAAAACCACCTAACCAAAACACTAACCTCACCCGAACCTAACCGGCTATCTCGGCAAACTGTTGATTTTCATCACTCCGTGATGTGCCGAGGAGTCGGCGCTTGACAAGCCAGAATACTAACTCACGAACTTTCATAGAAAGCCATCAAAGTGACGAACTTTCACCAATTCCCATCAAAGTGACGAAGTTTCCCAACGCTACGCGAAGTAACGAAGTGACGAAGATGGCGCGGACTCTTTGTAAATCCGGGTCTCAAGAAGAGAGAATAGATCCAGTCCTTACGCTCAGTCATCCAAATTTATCCCATCAGTGGGGTTCGAGCTATGAAAGGAGATGCAACAGGGAACGATTAGCTCCCGCACCATGCGCATTTGTCCATATGGATGTGCATTTTTCATCCATCATTCATCTGGCTTTATGGTGGATATCTTTTTACACCCCTTATCGAAAACTATTGCAGCTCCAATCGAGGTTTGACTAGGCGGAGAAGAAACCTAGTGGCGGATGGTTCGTGCCCACGTAGACATACAACAAATGTCAGTGGGAGATGCTGGTTCGAATTCAGGCTCGTAGGATTTTATCGTGCAGAATTGTTTCTTCTCCATCATTTTCTTTTAATTCGGCGCGCAACTCAACTTGAGGAATGGAGACCAGTAGCGGACGGTCCGCACCCGCGCCAGGTACACGGGTACATCTGACGCTGTGTCAGTCGGTGGTTCAAATCCAGGCTGGGTCATATGTCGAAAATCTCGTATTCATTTTATTGCGCATCACGAGAACTTCATCTTCCTGCGCTCGCGAATTTACCGCAGCTCAAATCGGGGCTGTGAATGCAGTGGTTTAAATTGTGTCGGTCACTCCCTAGAAAAGAGACCCAGGGGCGGATGGTTCGCACCCACGCTATATATACATCTAACGCCATGTAAGCGGGAAACCCTGGTTCGAGTCCAGGCTGGGTCATCAAATTGGTGAAGCTTTTTTTTTATCACGGTCATCTTGGCACTCACTAATTTATCGCAAAATTGAATGACATATCAGCGGGAGGGCCTGGTTGGAATCCACGCTGGGTCGTTCAATCCATTCTGAATCCTTTTTTCACGCTCTCCCTAAATATATTTCTTGGGCCACAACCGAGCAAGCTGGGTCCCTGCACGAGTGAAGCGGTGTCTGTCACGGCCCACTTTCTGTATTTGTTTGCGGTGTCTGTTTACCATGATGTTAACGTGAGGTTTCACTCTTGCGAAAGAACACCTGGATGATGTTGTTTTGAAAGTATGAAACCTGCGTCATAATCATGAGGTCCAGCGCCCACCTTGAGAGGTTTAATCCGTCCTAGGAATCGAAACCTTGCGATTCTCAGAAAATGTGGACGGCTAGGAGAAGGTTTTGATTTCATTGTGGAATCATATTAAAGAGGAACTGAGCTGGTTCAGTTAAGTGCACTCCCGCGGAAAGGAATTTACGTACTAATATACAGTCGTGAGAAGCGCATGGGGGCTACAGTATATAGCTGGCTTGATACTCCGTCATCTGTACTCGTCGATTCAGTACAGCTCAAGGAGGTTTCAAGCGGAATGCAGACCCAGTGGCGGATGGTTCGCGTCCGCACCGTGGGTCATCGCTGTCCTTTTTATTGCGTTTAAGTTGTCAGCGAGAAGTCAAGAAGATATTTCTCCAGTGCAAAACCCACCTTGCCCTGCTGATGTAGCATGTTCATTAGCGGGTAGGTGGGCCACTGGTGTAATCGAGGATCGTACTGAAAAATACGAGAAAGACTTACAGAGGAGTCGGGCGATCCCAACTTGCATTCCTGAATTGCGAGATGCAGCCGTCGAATCCTTTTCCCAGGCCCAGTACCGTACCACAGTCGCAGTCCCCGGCAGGTTCTGGAGGGATCCGCGAACTTGAAGCTGTGCGGCCATGCACCACGGACTCTGGAAAACATTCTCTGTGGCCAGTTTTCCGTAAATTTTCCCAGATTCCTCGCCGGGCCTTCCTCGCAATTCGGAGTCAGCCTTGTTTTTAGCCGTCGCGCCAACACTACATACCCAGAAATGAGATGAGAGCAGGAGGAGAGAGCGGCGGACCGGGCCGATGTTTAGCTCTATTGAATTGCAACGGCGTCCGCGCCTCTGCACCTCTCTTCCGTTTTTCCTCAAGTCTCGTCCAACTCGCTGGTCCCCATCCTCCGCTTCAAAACTCAAGAAGATCAATCAGCGCAAAGCTCACCGTACTGTTGGACCATTAGAACCCCTAGCTCGACATTGCTGCCCAGGCTACTTATCCTTGGGCTTTCTTTCCTCCGAACGAAAGCGATGTCAGATGTCTTTCATTCAGTGACCCCGGTGGCCAAATCTACTGCGAGATTAATGAGTGTATCCGTTGTCTTTGATCCAGGTCGCTCCGCAGCGACGCATTATCCAGTAGGCCTCGCCGCCCTTTCATCATCCCCTCGTTCCTTGTCCGCCCACGCTGCCGTGAAGCCCTGGCCACCCCTACCCCCGCCTCTGCACAACCCACATTTGCTTCAAGGAAATACCCAATGTCAAGCCAGCAGCCCCGCCCGTAGCCCCGCGCCGATGGCGAGCGATCGCGACGCCGTCGAGCTGAGGCACTACCCGCCCTCGTGACCCCCTAAAGTCCGACAAGCAGCACCAAGCCCCCGTGGGCCTCATCGTCGGCGTCGCACTCGCTATCGTCGCAGGTATCGCCGGCCTCTTCTCCACCCGCTGGCTCTTCATCCGCCGCCCTCGCCGCCCCTGCACCCATGCAACCCGCATCCGCTGCAGGCATAACAAGCGCCATGCCGAAGCAGCCGCAGTAATAACAACATCCGCCCCCACCCGCACCGATGGCGAGCGATCGCGACGCCATCGAGCTCAGCCACTACCCGCCCTCGTCGGCGGGCGGTTCGTGGCCCACGCCCTTCGCCGCGCCCGCACCCGCACCCGGCGCAGGCTCCTCCCCCGCCGCGCGCCAAGCGTATCTGGCTGCAGAGCTGCGCGCGGCGCAGGCCCTGCTCGAGCGCGGCGGGAGGGACGTCAATGCGACGCGCACGAAGGCGCGCATCCGCGAGCCGAAGGAGTGGCAGCAGAGCGCGTGGGCCCTCGGCCTCGAATGGTGGGGCAGGGTGCGGACTGCTGGATCGGTCGTGCGTTCGCAGATTTATTTTCGATTCATGGGTGTGCGATGGGTGTCCGGGCGACTCGAATACGGACTTCAGATTCGGTGTGGATTTCCGCGTGCATGTGTACTACATTCGTGTGTATGCTCCTATTAGGCATTTGTGTGTACGCCTACAGTACGCCTCGCGACCCCTCTTTGTTTGCGCCTCGCGATAATGTGACATGTACCCTGCTTGCTTAATCGAGCTGTATCTCTTACCGTCACTACACAAGTACATTATATACATACCCAGCTGTGGATTTCCACCTACGTTGTGTTGTCTCGCTGCGAAATTCTTCATCTGAGTCTGTGTCCTCTTTGTTTCTTGCAGCCATGTTTCCAGGCCCTGCTCAGGCTTCGGCGCTTATTAAATATTTCTGCTCCTCCTCAATCTCTCTTCCCACTCTCTTCGTGATGCCTCATAATTCATATCCAGGACTTTGAAGGATGTCAGACATGGTGTAGCGGTAACATCGCCTCTGGTTATAAATTTGCACCCCAATAATAGGGGGTGGTCCCGGGTTCGAATCCCGGTGTCGGAGTGTATTTTCATTGAAGATTTTTATTCCTCTTTGAAGTTTCCACTCAGGCTGATTTGCTCGTTCTAGAGAATTGAATGGTTCTTTTTCCTCCGGTGCTTGTCCGCTTGAATCTACGGTACATATACATGTTTCATAGAAATCCAGATTATTCGTTCTCCTTTTATCCAGACTCAAGCTCCCTTTTATCAAGCGGTGCGTCGAACTGCTACTTATTCAACCATGCAGTACACGAAGGATGTCAGACATGGTGTAGCGGTAACATCGCCTCTTTGATTAAGCGTAGCTCATCGAGATTTATGAGGCCGTCCCGGGTTCGAACCCCGGTGTCTGAGTAATTGTACATACTCCACTTTTAGTAACTCGCTTTTTGAACTTGGTACATGTTTGTATTTTAGATCGGTGAAAGTGTTGAAAATGACTATAGGTATCGGACGAGGCTCTGGCTTTGAATTCAATGCGGAGTGAATTATATAAACAAAATGCAGTATATCTGCAATCCTCTGTCTTCTGTGTTTGGTGACATACTAGTGTCACCTGCATGATAACAATACCGAATGTAAACAATTGCATCCGTCGGAGGCGACCCGTGGTGTTTTTCCGTTCTCCGGATCCGTCATCCTCCCTGCGCTCACGAATGAATACATGTACCTCTTAACAAATTAAATACACTTCAACACCAGGTTACACTCTGTGGAAAAGTGACCTAGTGACCTAGTGGCGGATGGTACCGCACCCGCATCGCGTAACCCAAGTTATATGTTCTACAATATCAGCGGGAGGTCCTGGTTCGACTCCAGGCTGGGTCATTATTCGTTGCTGTTGTTTTTTATTCCCTCCGTCATCTGAGCTCATCTCTCTCGCGCTGTCAACTTTAATACGGACCAAATCACCTTTCCAACCATGGAATGAAGACCCAGTGGTGGATGGTCCGCGCTCGCACCACATTGATTTGATTTGATTTAATAGCGGAGTGTTTGGTTCGATTCCAAGCTGGGTCATTCATCTTCTAGCTGCTGTTTTTTTTTTTTTTCTCTCTCTTACGCTCACCATCGAATTTACCACGACAAATCGAGGTTTCAAGTTGGGGAAAGTGGCGAAACGTAGCGCATCCGCACCGTTTAACACGAAATCAACTGACATACAGTCAGTGGGAGGTCCTGGTTCGAATCCAGGCTGGGTGGTTTGATATACATTTTTATTGCCTCCGTCATCTGGGCTCATCTATGTCGCGCTTAGTTAGCAGGATGCTTCGAATCCAGAGCTTGATCCATTTTGCCGTTTTCCCCGTTATCATCTTCCTTGCGCTCACTCGTTGAATTTATCACAGACCCAGTGGCGGAAGGTATCGCGCCTGCTTATCGTAAGCAAATGCCCAGGATAATAATTTGAGCGGGAGCTCCTGGTTCGAATCCAGGCTGGGTCGTGTGTTTCCTTGATGCGAGTTTTTTTTTTTTCGTTCTCTGTCAATTTGTACATCGGGGTCGTAAGAAAAGAGAAAGAGACCCACTTACGCTCACTCATCCAAATTTATCCCGTCAGTGGGGTTCAAGCTATGGAAAGAGATGCGACAGCGAACGGTTTGCTCCCGCACCATGCGCATTGTCCCTATAGATGTGCATTCTTCACCCGGCTTTATGGTGGATATCTTTTTACACCCTTATCGAAACTTATCGCAGCTCCAATCGAGGTTTGACTAGGCGGAGAAGAAACATAGTGGCGGATGGTTCGCGCCCACGTAGACATACAATAAATGTCAGTGGGAGATGCTGGTTCGAATTCAGGCTGGGTCGTAGGATTTTCTCGTGCAGGATTGTTTCTTCTCCATCATTTTCTTTGAATTCAGCGCAACTCAACTCGAGGTTTACGGCTATGAAAGGGAGACCCAGTGGCAGATGGTTCCGCGCCCGTGTCGAGTACTCGAGGTATTCCACATCGTGCCAGTGGGAGGTCCTGGTTCAAATCCAGGCTGGGTCATATGTCGAAAATCTCGTATTCATTTTATTGCGCATCACGAAAACTTCATCTTCCTGCGAATTTACCGCAGCTCAAATCGGGGCTGTGAATGCAGTGGTTTAAATTGTGTTGGCCACTCCCTAGAAAGAGACCCAGGGGCGGATGGTTCGCACCCGCGCTGTGTATATATAACGCCATGTAAGCGGGAAACCCTGGTTCGAGTCTAGGCTGGGTCATCAAATTGGTGAAGCTTTTTTTTTATCACGGTCATCTTGGCACTCACCAATTTATCGCAAAATTGAATGACATATCAGCGGGAGGGCCTGGTTGGAATCCACGCTGGGTCGTTCAATCCATTCTGAATCCTTTTTTCACGCTCTCCCTAAATATATTTCTTGGGCCACAACCGAGCAAGCTGGGTCCCTGCACGAGTGAAGCGGTGTCTGTTACCGCCCACTTTCTGTATTTGTTTGCGGTGTCTGTTTACCATGATGAGGTTTCACTCTTGCGAAAGAACACCTGGATGATGTTGTTTTGAAAGTGTAAAACCTGCGTCATAATCATGAGGTCCAGCGCCCGCCTTGAGAGGTTTAATCCGTCCTAGGAATCGAAACCTTGCGATTCTCAGAAAATGTGGACGACGGCTAGGAGAAGGTTTTGATTTCATTGTGGAATAATATTAAAGAGGAACTGAGCTGGTTCAGTTAAGTGCACTCCCGCGGAAAAGACTTTACGTACTAATATACATTGACAGTCGTGATAGATCTACCAGCGTTGAGAAGCGCATGGGGGCTACAGTATATGGTTCGCTTGATGCTCCGTCATCTGTACTCATCGATTCAGTACAGCTCAAGGAGGTTTCAAGCGGAATGCAGACCCAGTGGCGGATGGTTCGCGTCCGCACCGTGGGTCATCGCTATCCTTTTACCACGTTCAAGTTGTCAGCGAGAAGTCAAGAAGATATCTCTCCAGTGCAAAGCCCACCTCGTCCCTGCTGATGTAGCATGTTCATTAGCGGGTAGGCCGGCCACTGGTTTAATCGAGGATCGTACTGAAAATACGAGAAAGACTTGCAGAGGAGCCGGGCGATCCCAACTTGCATCCCTGAATTGCGAGATGCAGCCGTCGAAACTTTTCCCAGGTCCAGTACCGTCCCACAGTCGCAGTCCCCGGCAGGTTCTGGAGGGAAACTCAACACACACCAGAAAACGAGTTGAATTTAGGTTCCATCATCGGAAATCCGCTCCTCATAACCAAGAGGATCCGCGAACTTGAAGTTGTGCGGCCATGCACCACGGATATTTCTAGACTCTGGAAAATATTCTCTGTGGCCAGTTTTCCCTAAATTTTCCCAGAGTATTTGCCGGGCCTTCCTCGCAATTCTGAGTCAACCTTGTTTTTAGCTGTCGCGCCAACACTACATACCCAGAAATGAGAAGAGAGCAGGAGGAGAGAGCGGCGGACCGGGCCGATGTTTGGCTCTATTGAATTGCAACGACGTCCGCGCCTCTGCACGCACCTCTCTTCCGTTTTTCCTCAAGTCTCGTCCAACTCGCTGGTCCCCACTCTCCGCTTCAAAACTCAAGAAGATCTATCAGCGCAAAGCTCACCAGTACTGTTTGTTGGTTTTATCTCATGAACCTAGTAAGATATCACTCCTGGCCGTGAGTCCTTAGGTTACAAGCTCATGAGGAGCTCTACTGTAGGTACTGTATTTATACTAAAATCCCAATTATTCCTGCATGTTCCGGCAAGTTCCATCGAGTTCTATATCAGTCAGCGGCCTCGGCTTTGCCTCGGGCTTGTGCTGGATTGCTAATCTCCAACACTGTTGGCCCATTAGAACCCCTAGCTCGACATTGCTGCCCAGGCTATCCTTGGGCTTTCTTTCCTCCGAGCGACTTCCGAACGAAAGCGATGTCAGATCAAGCCAGCAGCCCCCGCCAGCAGCCCCGCGCCGACGGCGAGCGATCGCGACGCCGTCGAGCTGAGGCACTACCCGCCCTCGTCCGCCAGCGGCTCGTGACCCCCTAAAGTCCGACAAGCAGCACCAAGCCCCCGTGGGCCTCATCGTCGGCGTCGCACTCGCTATCATTGCAGGTGTCGCCTGCCTCTTCTGCATCCGCTGGCTCTTCATCCGCCGCCCTCGCCGCCCCTGCACCCATGAAACCCGCATTCGCTGCAGCCTCAGGCTGCAAGCATAACAAGCGCCATGCCGAAGCAGCCGCAGTAATAACAACAGCCGCCCCCACCCGCACCGATGGCGAGTGATCGCGACGCCGTCGAGCTCAGCCACTACCCGCCCTCGTCCGCGGGCGGTTCGTGACCCACGCCCTTCGCCGCGCCCGCACCCGGCGCAGGCTCCTCCCCCGCCGCGCGCCAAGCGTATCTGGCTGTAGAGCTGCGCGCGGCGCAGGCCCTGCTCGAGCGCGGCGGGAAGGACGTCAATGCGACGCGCACGAAGGCACGCATCCGTGAGCTGGAGGAGCGGCAGCAGAGCGCGTGGGCGCTGGGCCTTGAATAGTGGAACGTGCGGACTGCTGGATCGGTCTTGCGTGCGTGTGGATTTATTTTGGATTTATGGGTGTGCGACGGGTGTCCGGGCGACTCGAATATGGACTTCAGATTCGGCGTGGATTTCCGCGTGCGTGTGTACTACATTCTTGTGTACGCTGCTACATTTGTGTGTACGCCTACAGTACGCCTCACGACCCCTCTTTATTTGCGCCTCGCGATAATGTGACATGTACCCTGCTTGCTTAATCGAGCTGTATCTCTTACCGTCACTACACAAGTACATGACATTATATACCCAGCCGTGGATTTCCACGTTAACGTTGTGTTCTTTGAATCTTGCATTCTGAGATTTTCTCGTCCCTCCGAGTCGTCTGTGTCGTCTTTGTTTCTTGTAGACCCCAAATCCATATGTTTCCAGGCTCTCGGCTCTCGGCTTTCGGCACTTATTCTTGGGCGCTTCTCACCCAATCTTCTTTCCTATCCTCTCGTCGTAACCCCCATAGCTCACAACCCAGACTTTGAAAGACGTCAGACATGGTATGGCGGTACATCGCCTTTCTCGATTGAGGTTTTCTCTTTTATTTCTGTGAGGCGGTCTCGGGTTCGAATCCCGGTGTCTGAGTTTCCGTTATAGATCCAACTTTTTATCTCTTTGGTCGATTTCTTCGTTCGGATCCTTTTTATTAATAAATTATTCCTCCAGTCCGCGTCGACGAGCAACCTCTATCTCGGTGCTTAGTACGTGTTCAAAGAAATCATGATTTGTTCCCTCCCGCTTCCTTTTATCCATCAGCTCGTCAAACTGCTACTACTTATCCACCCATGCAGCAGATGAAGAATATCAGACATGGTGTAGCGGTAA